ATAAAATGTTACTTATATGTTTGAATATAAAATAAATTTGACTTCTCATCATATCCAGAATTAAATTAATTTAAAAAGTGGTTTGATAAAAATAAATTATTGTTAAATTTGGACGAAACTAAATTTACGTTGTTTGGAAATTGTAAAGGAAATAGTGATTTAAAAATAGGAATTGAGGATGTAATTGAGGAGACAGAGTTAATGAAATTAAGTTTCTGGGTGTGGTGATTGACCACAAGATCTGCTGGAAAACTGTTCAGTAAGTTCAAGCTAAAATATCAAGAAGTATCTTAGTCCTCAGTAAAGCTATATATTTTTTAAATAATAAAGCATTGCATTATTGTATATTGTCCACTTATTTTGCCATATTTGAATTATTGTGTGGAAGTCTGGGGAAACACCTACAAATCCTCACTCAGACCGTTGTGCACTCTCCAGAAAAGAGCCATCAGATTGGTTCATACGGTAGGCTTCCAGGATCACACTACTGAGTTATTTACCAAATTCTGCTTGTTCAAACTCTTAGACCTGGTTGAATTTAAAACAGCTCAAGTGCTTTATAAAGCTAGGAACAAACAACTACAAGATAAGTGTCCTGATGCATCTCAGTAATCCAGGTAAAAAATTAAAAAGAAAAAAAATTGTATAGGTCTTCTGGACGGGTTCTTCTCTAATGAAACGTTTCATCTCTCCTCCAAGAGACTTCTTCAGTCTGAGAGTTTCAGGCAAAATTCAGGCTTTTAAGCACTGCTACCAGATAATATACTGTACCAGATAAAATACCAGATAATACAGGTACAGAATACAGAACTACCAGATAACATACAGAAACCTTTTATGGATAGAGTGGGGGGTAATGATGTCAGGGGAAACCTTAATTTCAGAACCAGGAGTGTTCAAACCGTTAATCTATATTACTGGATTGGACATTGCCTATAGCCGCTATAGCTAGCGACGAGCCATCACAGGAGCCATTGCTATGCACTGAGTCATGTCAACAAAACAGTAGAGTTTCAATGCGGGCTGTATGTCAATCTGTCACAAAAATATTCATAGCACCCTCAATTCTCATCCAATTTCTATAAAATAGGGCTTAAATTAAAGCTGAGAAAATTGCTGATGTTGTGATACAGCGGGTAAAATAAGTATTGAACATGTCACCATTTTTCTCAGTAAATATATTACTAGAGGTG